TTTATTAGGTTATGTCCTTTTTCCATGGGTTCCTCTAGGAAGAAAACCATATCGTCTGCAAACGCCTGTAGTTTATATTCCTCTGCTTTAACCCTTACTCCTTGGATTTCAGAGTTTTGTCTTATCCGCGTTAACAGTGATTCTAAAGCAAGTATAAATAGGAGGGGTGAGAGGGGGCAACCCTGTCTAACGCCCTTTTCAATGTTTAATGGGCCTGTTTGTTCACCGTTAATTAGTATGTTGGCCTGTTGGGTGTTGTAAATTGTTGTGATAATGTTCTTGAATTTAGTGCCCAGACTCATGTTATAGATTTTTTGAATTAAAAAGTGCCAGTGTAGATTATCGAATGCTTTCTCAGCATCTAAAAACATGAGTGCAAATTGTTTCTCTGGATGAACTTCATAATATTCTAAAAGGTCAATAACGGTTCTTAGATTATTTTTGATTTGGCGGGACGGAAGGAAACCATTTTGATCTTCATGAACGTATAAATTTAAAACTTGTTTTACTCTATTCGCTATAATTGAGCTAAATAATTTATAATCAGCATTTAAAAGCGAAATTGGTCTATAATTGTTGATATATCTGGCATCTACGTCCTCCTTTGGAATTAACGAAATCAACGCCCCCGTCCATGAGTCTGGCATCTTGGCTGCCAAAAGTACTTCATTAAACACTTCCAGCATCAGTGGCCCTACTAACTCTATTATCGCTTTGTACAATTCTACTGGGATCCCATCTGGTCCAGGGGATTTATTATTACTTTGATTCTCCATTGCAGATTTCAACTCAGACCATGTAATATCCTTATTTAATAATTCTTTCTCTCCTTCCCCTGTTGTTTTATCATTCGTATTCTCCAGATAAGTTCCTATTTTGTCTTCATTGATTTCTTCCTTTTTATATAATCTTTGAAAGTAGTTTAATATGATATCTTTTTTCTTCTCAATCTCATGTTGTGGTATGCCTTTCTCGTCTATTAGTTGGTGTATCAGTCTCTTTTCTTTTTCTTTTTTAAGTTTATAAGATAGCCATCTTCCTGATTTATTAGCATGTTCAGAATAATTTTGTTTGGACCCTCTCAAACTAACTTCTATTTTATCTTGTTCAATTAAATTCAGCTTATGTTTGGCTAATATTAACTGGTTTTGTATTCCTTGGATCTTGGGGTTTTTTTGTAATTTTATTTCTAAGTCTTCGATTTGTTGTTGTAATACGTTTTGTTGGGCATAAGTTCTCTTGTTTCTCATAGCATTATAGGAAATTGTTGTACCTCTTATAATTGCTTTCATAGTATCCCAAATATTCTGTTTTGAAGTTGTTTCATTATTATTATCTTTTAGGAAATAGTTTAGCTCCTCTTTCAGCTTATTGATATACTCTTCTTCGTTTACTATTTGGGTATTTAGCGTCCATCTTTTTTTTATTCCTCTCCTGTCTCTCCAAATTAGCTGTATTGGGTTGTGGTCAGCCCATTCATTTGGTAGGATTTTAATTTCTTTTATTTCATTAGCCAAATCCAAATCCATCCAAGCCATATCTATTCTAGTCCAAATCTTATGTGGATTGGAATAGTATGTAAATTGTTTCTCTTCCAGGTTCCGTTCCCTCCATAAATCTTTTAAATTTAACTCTTTCATCATTTCCTTACATGCCATAGAGAATTCTCTTTTTCCCTTCCTCTTTTTTCCCATATTACTATGGTCTTTTTAGTAGAGACTGCAATGGAGTTAAAATCACCAATCAAGCAAATGTTCCTTTTTTCAAAGCCTACTCTTTTTCTAATAGTAATATGATTTTCTAATAGTGATACTAGGATATATAAGTTTGGATTGATAATATGAGTTATTATGTAATGTAACTGTAATTGAGACTACGAAATGAATGCACAAAACTGATGAACCAACCGACAGACTGCTTGTATATATGTATGGAAGAGAGCTGATGTTTTTATGTTCTGTTTGTTTTGTTTGTTTTTAAAAAAACCGATAAAATTGTTTTCAAAAAAGAGAGAGAATATTCAAGAAGAAAAAGTTAAGCAATATCTACAGAAAGCAAATTTACCTCAGATACCTAAATATATTGAAACAATGTTAGAAGGGAATATAATGATGATGGAATTAACAGAAGCCTTAAAAAAACAGAATGTTGGGAAAGCACCAGGTCCAGATGGTTTGCCAGCGGACCTCTGTAAGACTTTTCAGGAAATGTTGAATCTTTACCTATTAGAAGTTATGAATGAAGTTATGCTAAAGAAAAGAATACCAAAAACATGGTCAGAAGCATATATTACACTTATACCGAAGGAGGATACAGACCTGCAGCAAGTTAAAAATTACAGACCAATGTCCCTGTTAAATTCAGACTATAATTTTTTTGCTTCAATCTTGGCAGAAAGACTGAAAAGATATCTAAATAACTTTATCCATATTGACCAAAATGAATTTCTGCCAAAGAGACAAATCAAAGACAATGTGAGAATTATTTTGGATACTTTGGAATATTATGAAGCGCATCCTGAAAAGCAAATGGCCTTGATGTTTTTAGATGCACAATAAGCCTTTGACAATGTGAGTTGGAGATTCACTTTACTTCAATTGAGACAAATGGGCTTTGGTAAAAAATTTATCCAAGCCATTGAAACAATATACCATGAACAAACTGCAAAGGTTATGGTAAATGGAGAATTAACCGAATCTATAGATATAAGAAAAGGGACAAGGCAAGGTTGTCCACTGTCACCTCTGCTATTTGTGTTAACATTGGAAGTGTTGAATAGGAACATCAGAGAAGAAAAAGAAATAAAATGAATGAAAATCAAAAAGGAAGAGTATAAATTGCCAGCTTTTGCAGGTGACCTGGTATTCATATTAGAAGATCCATTGGAAACAACACCTAAATTAATAGAAAAAATAGAAAAATATAGAAAAGTAGCAGGTTTGAAAATAAATAAAGATAAAACAAAGATATTAACAAAGAATATGTTAGCAAGATGAAAGAAAGAGTTGGAAGAAATTTTGGAAATACAGGTCATAAGCAAGGTCAAGTATTTAGGGATATATATTACACCAAGATGTAGCACACTGAAGGAGGATAACTATGTTGAACTCAAACAGCAGATTGCGATAGATCTGATAAAATGGGAAAAACTACAACTATCATTGATTGGAAGAATTTCTACAATTAAGATGAATGTATTGCCTAGAGTTTTATATTTATTCCAGACAATTCCTATTCGATTAGGGAAAGAGTTTTTTGAAGATTTAAATAGAATTGTACTGAAATATATTTGGCAGGGTAAAAAAGCAAGAATAAAATTAAAACTGTTACAAGATGCAAAAATAAGAGGAGGATTTGCCTTGCCCAATTGGGAGTTATATTACCAGATGACAAGTTTGATGTGGATAAAGGAATGGATAACATTAAGGAACAGTAGACTATTGACCTTAGAAGGGCATGACTTGCTGTTGGGATGGCATGCTTTCCTCTGGTATAAGGGAACTAAAACACACGGGTATTTTAGAAGACATTATATTCGAGAGGCACTGTTTTTTAATTGGGAGAAGATAAAAAGACAATACTACTTAAAAATTCCACAATGGATATCTACCATTGAAGCTTTTTCTTATCCAATAATATATAAAAAGGAACAAACAGTTAGATATGGTGAGATATTGAATGAAAAGGGTGAACTTAAATCTATGCAAGTGTTGGAAGAACAAGGTGTAAAAATGAATTGGCATATATTTGCAAATACAATCTAGATTTGATAAAGATTCTAAAACAGGAGGTATTTATGATAAATTGACTGATTTAGACAAAATTTTGATGGGTACTGATGAAAATGTAATTAAAAAACTTTATGGACATTTATTAGAATTTAAACTGGAGGAGGAACAAGTTAAACAAACGATGATTGCTTGGGGGAAAATTTTGGATATGGGATTGACTTAGAAAAATGGCAAAAATTGTGATCTCAAAACTATAAAATGACAATGTCAACTGCTTATAAAGAAAATTTGTATAATATGTTTTACAGGTGGCATCTACCCCTGATGAGAATCGCGAGAATGTTTAAGAAATCATACCGGAAATATAAAACAAAGAGCTGAAATATTTGATTATAAATGTTTTAACAGCGGCTAGAATTGCATTTGCTAAGGATTGGAAAAATGATAACATACCTGTGCAGGAGAAAGTTATTAAGAAAATTATGGACTGTGCTGAAATGAGTAAATTGACATTTGAAATCAGAGAACAAGAAGATAAACAATTTTATATGATATGGGATTTGTTTTATCAATGGTTGGATAAAAAGACATGGTAATGTAACAGAACAGATAATTTTCTTATAGAAGTTTAATAGATTGATTTAAAGTATAATGTAGACATATATAACAATTGGATGAAAGCACAATATAAATTTTAAAATAAAATTTGGGATATCTCGTATACAATGATTGAATAAATAGTTTAGTCATGGATGATTAAGAATTGATAAATCTATAAGTATATGTTAGTTTGACAATGTGAAATTTATATAAACTGTGAGTAACGACTATGAAAGGATTGCACAAAAGATTCGTAACCAACTGACACACTGTATGTATATAAAATGGAAGATGGTTTTATGTTTTTATGCATTGTTTGTATATGTTTGTCTTAAAAAATAAAAACTTAAAAAAAACAGTAAAAAAAAGCCATAACTGAAGTTTGAATGCCAAAGGTATAGTTTACTGAAGGTCAAGTGAAATACAGTAAAGCAAAGCCAGAACTGCGGTTCGTGAGCCAAAGGTATAGTTTACTGAAGGTCATGTGAAATAATATAAAGCAAAACCAGAACGGAGGTTCGCTCACCAAAGGTATAGTTTAACAGTAAAGCAAAGCCAGAACTGAGGTTCGTGTGCCAAAGATATAGTTCACTGAAGGTCAAGTGAAATACAGTAAAGCAAAGCCAGAACAGTGGTGCGCGCCAAAGGTATTGTTTACTGAAGGTCAAGTGAAATACAAAAAAGTAAAGCCAGAACTGAAGTACATGCACCAAAGGTATAGTTTACTGAAGGTCAAGTGAAATACAGTAAACCAAAGCCAGAACTGAGGTTGGCACACCAAAGTTATAATTTACTGAAGGTCAAGTGAAATGCAGTAAAGCAAAGCCAGAACTGAGATTCGCGTGCCAAAGGAATAGTTTACTGAAGGTCAAGTGAAATACAGTAAAGCAAAGTCAAAACTGAGGTTCGTGCGCCAAAGGTATAGTTTACTGAAAGTCAAGTGAAGTCACTAGGTCACGCAGGGAGGAGAGGATCAGGGAAAAGCGAGGTCTACTCAAGAGGAGATTACCATGATCCTCCTCGTGGCTTGCAGGTGGGAACTATGTATATAAGTTTGCAACTGCACAGTTAGAATTGCTGAAGTCAATCAGTGTTTACCTTGAAAGAGCTTTATATTTGCTGGCATTCTTCCCATGGACGTTTCTCGGTTATTTTCCTGGAGTTTATAATTAGTTATCTTGGCTTGCTTCGGAACTGTCATCAGTGCGGTTTATTTTGGTTTTCTGTTTGCCTCATTATTTACTTTTGTGACTTTAAACTGTGCCTAATAAAACAGTGAAGTTAAGTTGAAGGCTTTACCGGACTTTAATATATATTTTGGGTTTGGGGTTATTTTGAGAGACTACGGGTCATCACATTTTGACTTCAGCCACCCCTTCAACTGATTTTTGCTTTTTTGGGGGTGACCATGGATCAGCTCAGAACAGAGATTGCCCAGTTAAGCCAGCAAGTTGCTCTTTTGACTGCACAGGTGGCACAAATGCAAGCTGCCCGGCCACGCAGAAAATGCCCAGTGGCAGTGCCAGATAAATTTGATGGTTTGCTGGCCCAATTTCCAGCATTTTTTGGGCAGTGCCAGCTTTACAAGAGCCTTCGGCCTGAGGACTTTCCCACTGACCAGGATAAGGTGGGTTTTTTGATTAGTTTGTTGTCAGGTTCTGCAGCACGTTGGGCGACACCTCTGCTGACCCAGCCCAACCAGGTTTTGGACAATTACGCTGAGTTTTGCCATCAGTTTCAGGCCATGTTTGAGGACCCTATTCGAAGCCAAACAGCAAACAGACGTTTGAGAGAGTTGAAGCAGGGGCATGGCTCACTCATGGATTATATTGCTAGTTTTCGGGTGGTTGCTCAGGATGTACAATGGAATGAGGCAGCACTATTAGACCAGTTCCAGGAGGGTTTGTCATCGGAGCTTCTGGATGAGTTGGCGCACACTGAATGCCCTCTCACCCTTCAGGAGCTCATGCATTTGTGTCTTCGTATCGATGCAAGACTTCAGCAGCGATGGGTGTGACGACAGACCGAGACCGTATCTGTTTCCAGCAAGATGGCACCCTTGGTGGAAGTGCCTTTGGAGGAACCCATGCAGTTGGGGGCTGGCCACCCTTGCCACCTTTGACATCTTCTACATCTCCACCACAGTCGCTATTGGTGAAGCATCTTGTGCTGACAGCAAGTGTGTTCGTGCCTGGTGTGGGAGCGGTGGAGATCCCAGCTTTGGTCGACTCAGGAGTCACAGCCAATTTCATGGATGCTCATTTTGTCAAGCAGTGGCTCATTCCTCAGCAACAGGTATCCCCACCAGTAATGGTGGAGACGATTGATGGTCGGCCCCTTCATTCGGGACCTGTGGTTGCTGCAACCACACCCCTTTGTATGCATATTGGGTAGCATGTGGAGGAAACCATGTTTTACGTTCCCTCAGTGCCTCATTTTCCGGTGGTGCTGGGTTTGGAGTGGCTACAGGCCCATGATCCACAGATTGTCTGATCATCTGGAGCTGTGCAGTTTCTTGATAGGAAGTGTGCCAACCATTGCTTGCGCTTCTGTGCAGGGAGTGTGGCTACACCTGTGGACCTGGATCTACCTGCAGAGTTGGTGGACTTTGGTGATGTGTTTGGGGAGAAGGAGGTGGATCAGTTGCCCTGCATCAGGCATATGACTGTCCAATCGACTTGTTGCCCGATGCAAAATTGCTGGTGGGTCGGATATATTCCCTGTCAGAACTGGAGTTGTCCACATTGTGGGATTTTATTGACAAGAACCTCCGGAAAGGGTTTATCCAGACTTCTACCAACCCATTGGCTGCACCAGTGCTTTTTGTGATAAAGAAATTTGGGGAGCTACATTTGTGTTGTGATTACCGCAACTTGAATTCAATCACAGTGAGGAATCAGTACCCGCTTCCCCTCATCCCTGAACTGATTGAGTGGCTTCGTCAAGCTAAGATCTTTACGAAGTTGGATTTGCGTGGGGCCTACAATCTGGTTTGCATTCGTGCAGGGGAAGAATGGAAAACAGCTTTCCAGACGAGGTACAGGCATTTTGAGTATACCGTGATGCCTTTTGGATTAACCAATGCCCCAGCTGTGTTCATGCATTTCATGCACAATGTTTTCCATGATTTGTTGGATCAATTCGTGGTCATTTATTTAGATGACATTTTGTTTTGCTCAGACTTCCTGCAGGAACATTGGCAGCATGTGCGGCTAGTGTTGTAATGTTTGCGTGATAACCACCTGTTTGCTAAATGTGAGAAGTGTCAGTTTGCACAAACCACGACTGACTTCTTGGGACATCGTATTTCACCTGCTGGGGTGGAAATGAACCCAGAAAAAATTCAATTGTTGCAGGCGTGGGAACCTCCACAGCGGGTTAAGGATGTGCAATGACTGTTGGGGTTTGCAAACTACTACCGCACATTTATTCCCCACTTTGCTGCCTTGACTGCTCCCCTTTCTAATCTGCTCAAGAAGGTGGAGAAGTTCCATTGGGGTGCTGAGGAGCAGGCAGCTTTCGAGGCGTTGAAAGTTGCCTTTCCTTCTGAGCCTATCCTCAAACACCCTGATCCAGGCCAGCCATTTGTGGTGAAAACAGATGCTTCCGATGTGGCTGTTGGAGCAGTGGTCCACCAGGCCTATGCTCCCGCAGGCACCTCGTTCCCGTGCGCTTATTATTCCCGGAAGTTGTCGGTTCCAGAGCGCAACTATATGATTTGGGACAAGGAACTATTGGTGGTTAAGGTCACTTTTGAGACATGGCGGCACCACCTGGAGGGGGCTCGTCACCAAATCGAGGTTCGGACGGATCATCGCAATTTGGAACACCTACGTACAGCTCGGACATTGAACCAGCATCAAGTGAGATGGTCCTTATTCTTTGCTCGATTTGATTTCCGGGTGACCTATGTTCCGAGTGGAGGGAATCAACATGCCAATGCCCTATCTCAGAACCCCGAGTATACCCGAAGGGAGGATAAAATCTTGCCCCAGATGGTGATTCCGTTGGAGTGGTTTGTGGCCACCGAGGAACCTGTGGCCCTTCGACTGAGGATTCAGGAGGTGCAGCGGCAGGACCCATTTGTGACAGCTCGACATCGAGTATTGGATGAGAATGGGAGACAAGAGACTCCTTGGGCGTATATTGGGGACCTGTTGCGGTTCCATGATCGCATTTATGTGCCTGGAGGTCCTCTTCGTGGCCTTATCCTACTTCAATGTCATGATAGTCTGGTGGCAGGACACTTTGGGGTGTTCACTGCACCTCATCTCTAGGACATTTTGGTGGCCGAGACTTAAACATGATGTGTCGGGATATGTGGCGTCCTGTGGGATCTGTCGCCAAGCCAAGTATGCTCCTGGTGCACCCCCTGGTCTATTGAAGCCCTTGCCCACGCCAGAACGAACGTGGGGGGCAGTTTCATTGGATTTCATCGTTGAGTTACCACCATCGAATGGTGCCACAACCATTTTGGTGGTGGTGGATATGTTGACTAAAATGGCCCACTTTATTCCGTGTGCGGCTATTCCATCCGCCAAGATAACGGCTCAATTGTTTATCTCCCATGTTTTCCAGTTGCATGGGATACCAGACCGCATGGTATCAGATCGGGGGGGGTACAATTTACGGCACGCTTCTGGCTGATCCTACTCACGAAACTGCAGGTTCAGGCGTGTCTGTCGTCTGCTCATCACCCCGAAACTGATGCGGGGACAGAGAGAGTGAATGCTATTTTGGAGCAGTACCTCCGCTGTTTCAGTATTGTTGAGCAGTGACTCAACAAGACAATTGGGTGGAGGTGCTGCCGGTGGTGGGTTCGCTTATAACAATGCTCAACCTGCATCCACCTGTGTGTCCCCTTTCTTTGCTAACTATGGGTTTCATCCACAACTTTTCCCTTTAGCCCCGTCTGATTCCCCAGTTCCAGCAGTGTATACGTTTCTGCAGGAGTTAAAAGCCGTGCACCACATGGTCCGCAATCAACTAGAGAGAGCCAAGTAAGTCCATAAACAGTTTGCAGACCGACATCGTTGCGATGTTCCGCCTTTAGTGGTCGGTGATCGGGTTTGGCTCTTGACTCGATATTTACCAATGACGCGACCATCGAAAAAGCTCGACCACTGTTACTTGGGACCTTTTCCAGTCGAGGCGGTGATCAATCCTGTGGCTTATCGCCTCTCCCTGCCACGGACCATGCGTATCCATCCTGTTTTTCATTGTTCCCTGTTAGTCCCTGCCTCATCCGACAGTCCACATAGACTGGCTCCATCACAGCCGGCCCCAGTAGCCCCTCTAGGAGAGGAGGAATACGAAGTGGAGAGCATCTGAGATTCATGCCAGCTGCGGGGCCGATTTCAGTATTTGGTGGAATGGAAAGGTTATGAACCAGAGGACTTCACCTGGGTCGATGCCACTGAGGTTCATTCTCCTCGTTTGGTCCAGGACATTCACACTCGGTTTTCTCAACATCCTAGTCCGCCTGGTCCGTGGGGGGGGCGCTGCCGGGGGGGGGATAGTGTCATATCCCTGGTGGAGTCTGACTCTGAGGAAGAGGAAGAACAGCCAACAGGGAGTGGGAGTGTGACTCCAGAGGTGGTGGACGAGGCTGGGGAAGGGCAGAGGCCAGCTGAGCACTCAGAGGAGGATCCAGGCCCATCCCCTATCCATCCTAGGTCATGCAGGGAGGAGAGGACCAGGGAAAAGCGAGGTCTACTCAGGAGGAGATTACCATGATCCTCCTCATGGCTTGCAGGTGGGAGCTATGTATATAAGTTTGCAACTGCACAGTTAGAATTGCTGAGGTCAATTAGTGTTTACCTTGAAAGAGCTTTATATTTGCTGACATTCTTCCCATGGACTTTTCTCGGTTATTTTCCTGGAGTTTATAATTAGTTATCTTGGCTTGCTTCAGAACTGTCATAAGTGCGATTTATTTTGGTTTTCTGTTTGCCTCATTATTTACTTTTGTGACTTTAAACTGGGCCAAATAAAACAGTGAAGTTAAGTTGAAGGCTTTACCGGACTTTAATATATGTTTTGGGTTTGGGGTTATTTTGAGAGACTACGGGTCATCACAGATATAGTTTACTGAAGGTCAAGTGAAATACATTAAAGCAAAGAAAGAACAGAGGTTTGTGCTCCAAAGGTATAGTTAAACAGTGAAGCAAAGTCAGAACTGAGGTTCATGCGCCAAAGGTATAGTTAACTGAAGATCAAGTGATATACAGAAAAGCAAAGCCAGAGCTAAGGTTCATACACCAAAGGTATAGTTTACTGAAAGTCAAGTACAATACAGTAAAGCAAAGCCAGAAATGAGGTTTGCACGCCAAAGGTATAGTTTACTGAAGGTCAAATGAAATACAATAAAGCAAAACCAGAACTTAGATTCGCATTACCCCTCCCAAAGGTATAGTGTAAGAGTAAAGCAAAGCCAAAATTGAGACTTCCATCCCAATGGTATAGTTTACTGAAGGTCAAGACAAATATTGTAAAGCAAAGCTAGAACAGAGGTTGGCACGGGAAAGGTATAGTTTACTGAAGGCCAAGTGAAATACATTAAAGGAAAGCCAGAACAGAGGTATGCATGCCAAAGGTATAATTTACTGAAGGTCATGTGAAATACAGTAAAGTAAAGCGAGAACTGAGATTTGTGCGGCAAAGGTATAGTTTAATGAAGGTCAAGTGAAATACAATTTTAAAAAGCCAGAAAAGAGGTTCGTGTGACAAAGGTATACTTTACTGATGGTCAAGTGAAATACAATAAAACGAAGCCAGAATAGAGGTTTCCACGCCAAAAGTAGTCTTCTGAAGGTCAAGTGAAATACAATAAAACAAAGCCAGAAAAGAGGTTTGTGTGCCAAAGGTATAGTTTACTGAAGGTCAACAGAAATACAATAAGGAACACCAGAACTGAGGTTCACGGGCCAAAGGTATATCTTACTGAAGGTCAAGTGAAATACAATAAAGCAAAACCAGAAATCAGTTAAAATTCCCAAGGGTATAGTTTAACTGTAAAGCAAAGCCAGAATTGAGATTTGCGTGCCAATGGTACAGTTTACTGAAGGTCAAGACAAATACTGTAAAGCAAAGTAAGAACTGAGGTTCGTAAGCCAAAGGTATAGTTTACTGAAGGTCAAGTGAAAAACAGTAAAGCAAAACCAGAACTGAGGTTCGCGGGCTAAAGGTATAATTTCCTGAAGGTCAAGTGAAATACAATAAAACAAAGCCAGAAAAGAGGTTTGCACACCAAAAGTATAGTTTACTGAACTCCAGTGAAATATAATAAAGCAAAGCCAGAACTGAGATTTGCTCACCAAAGGTATAGTTTACTGAAGGTCATGTGAAATACATTAATGCAAAGACAGAACAGAGGTTTGTGCGGCAAAGGTATAGTTTAACAGTAAAGAAAAGTCAGAACTGAGGTTCTTGAGCCAAAGGTATAGCTTACTGAAGGTCAAATGAAATACAATAAAGCAAAGCCAGAACTGAGATTCGCATGCCAAAGGTATAGTTTACTGAAGTTCAAGTCAAATACAATAAAGCAAAACCAGAAATCAGTTAAACTTCCCAAGGGTATAGTTTAACAGTAAAGCAAAGCCAGAATTGAGATTTCTGTGCCAATGGTACAGTTTACTGAAGGTCAAGTGAAATACAGTAAAGCAAAGCCAGAACTGAGGTTCGCGTTGCAAAGTTATAGTTTAACGGTAATGCAAAGTCAGAACTGAGGTTTGTGCACAAAACGTATACTTTACTGAAGCTCAAGTGAAATACAATGAACCAAAACCAGAATTGAGGTTCGCGCGCCAAAGGTATACTTTACTGAAGGTCAAGTGAATTATAGTGAAAGAAAGCCATAACTGAGGTTCACGCGCCAAAGAAATAGTTTACTGAAGGTCAAGTGAAATGCAGTAAAGCAAAGCCAGAACTAAGGTTCAAGCGCCAAAGGTATAACTTACTGAAAATCAAGTGAAATAGATTAAAGCAAAGTCTGAACTGAGGTTTGCGCGCCAAACGTATATTTTACTGAAGGTCAAGTAAAATACAATAAAGCAAAGCCAGGACTGAGGTTCGCTCAACAAAGGTATAGTTTAATAGTAAAGCAAACACAGAACAGAGGTTCGCACGCCAAATGTATAGTTTATTGAAGATCAAGTGAAATAGAGTAAAGGAAAACCAGAAATGAGGTGCGCAGCAAAGGTATAGTTTAAAGATAAAGCAAAGTGAGAACTGAGGTTCGTGCACCAAAGGTATAATTTACTGAAGGTCAAGTGAAATACATTAAAGCAAAGCCAGAACAGAGGTTTGCGCACCAAAGGTATAATTTAACAGTAAAGCAAAGCCAGAACTGAGATTTGCATGCCAATGGTATAGTTTACTGAAGGTCAATTCAAATACAGTAAAGCAAACTAGAACTGAGGTTTGCACGCCAAAGATATAGTTTACTGAAGGTCAGGTGAACTGCAATAAAGCAAAGCCAGAACTGAGGTTCACACGCCAAAGGTATAGTTTACTGAAGGTCAAGTGAAATACAATAAAGCAAAACCAGAAATTAGTTAAACTCGCCAAAGGTATAGTTTAACAGTAAAGCAAAGCCAGAAGAGAGTTTGGCGCAGCAAAGATATAGCTTACTGAAGGTGAAGTGAAATACAATAAAGCAAAACCAGAAATCAGTTAATCTTCCCAAGGGTATAGTTTAATAGTAAAGCAAAGTGAGAACAGAGGTTCGTGCACCAAAGGTATAATTTACTGAAGGTCAAGTGAAATACAATAAACGAAAGCCAGAACTGAGGTTCGCTCGCCAAAGGTATACTTTACTGAAGGTCAAGTGAAGTACAATAAAGCAAAACCAGAAATCAGTTAAACTTCCCAAGGTTATAGTTTAACAGTAAAGCAAAGTCACAACTGAAGTTCGCGTGCCAAAGGCATACTTTACTGAAGGTCAAGTGAAGTACAATAAAGCAAAACCAGAAATCAGTTAAAGTTCCCAAGGTTATAGTTTAACAGTAAAGCAAAGTCAGAACTGAGGTTGGTGCGGCAAAGGTACAGCTTACTGAAGGTCAAGAGAAATAAAATAAAGCAAATCCAGAAATGAGTTACGCTTCCCAAAGGTATAGTTTAACAGTAAAGCAAAGCCAGAACTGAGATTTGCGTGCCAATGGTATAGTTTACTGAAGGTCAATTCAAATACAGTAAAGTAAACCAGAACTGAGGTTTGCACGCTAAAGATATAGTTTACTGAAGGTCAAGAGAAATACAGTTAAAGACAGCCAGAACTGAGGTTTTCTCACCAAAGGTATAGTCTAACCATAAAGGAAAGCCAGAACTGAGCTTAGCTTGCCAAAGGTATAGTTTAACAGAAAAGCAAAATCAGAACTAAGGTTCATGTGCCAAAGTTACAGTTTATCAGTAAAGCAAAGTCAAAACTGAGGTTTCTGCACCGAAGGTATAGTTTACTGAAGGTCAAGTGAAATAAAATAAAGCAAAACCAGAAATGAGTTAAACTTGCCAAAGGTATAGTTGAACAGTAAAGCAAAGCCAGAACAGACGTTTACGAGGCAAAGGTATAGTTTACTGAATCACCAGGAGACGGGGAGTTCCAGTCCCGCCTTAGGCATGAAAGGCTGCCGGGTGACTTTTCGCCAATTACAAGGAGATGGATACTGTTAGGAATATGAGTCACCTAACAGCTATTTGGGTTAGAAATATATAAACCAGGATAAACATTTTAAAACTGTATCTTTAAGAAAATGCAAAACTGTAATTAGGTGTGGTTTCTCAAACAGCCATAAGATGGAGCCAGAAACCTGGTTTGTCTGAGTCTGAGTCTCAGAAGAGAGTATGAGTGTATCTCTGTTTCCTTCTGTTGAAAAGTATTGCCATTCCTCCATTTTTCCTAATTGACTGATATTTTCTGGATTTAATGTAAGTCTGATACTGAACTGTTTTTGACACTGGAATTTGATATTTGTATTATCCCTGGATTGAAAACTGACTGATTTACTTGTGAATGACTTTGGACTGTGTTTGGACTTTGCTTAAACTTTCTGGAAGTAATAACCTACATTTACTGTACAGTGTATCTGTGTACTGTGTGTGTATTATTCAAACACTTCTCTCAAAATACGTCTCCCTGTATGCGCTCATTCTCCTAACGGGGAATTACCTCAACACTGGTTATGGGTCCAGGCCATACCAGGCTCAGATAACTGAGAGTTAGTGTGAATGCACAGTACTGTATACAGACAGCTGTTTACTGTTTAATTGTGGGTTACTATCCTTGTAAAGATGGCACAAGTCACTTCAACAAGTCTATCACTGATAACCCGGTTGGATGGAACAAACTATGTTTCCTGGTCTATGAAGTGCAGTCTACTTCTGCGTAGAGAAGGGTTATGGAATGTAGTTCAAGACCCACCGGATGTAAATGCTTGGGATCCAGCTAATAAGGATGATGCCAAGAAGCTTGCTGACTTTAAACAGAACAACGAATGAGCTCTTTGTATAATTGGACTAACACTGAGTGACCAGCAGCTAGTCCATATTCATGGAGAAGAGTCTGCTGCTAGGTGTTGGGAGAATTTGAAGAGGATTTATGTTCGTGACAGTGTAGGTGCACACATACATCTTACACGTAAACTGTTTAGAGCACGTCTTCTGAAAGGTGGAGATATGTTGGCTCATTTAAACTTCATGAAAAGAACTTTTCAAGAGCTACATGAAAAAGAACTGATATTTTCAGAGCTGCATCAAGTTTACATCATTCTTTCCTCATTGGATGAAAGTTATGATGACTATGTATCTTCACTGGAAGTCCTGCCCAGAGATAAACTGACATTAACTGACATAACTGGAAGGTTGTTAGAAGAGGCAAGAAGACGGCTGGATAGGGACCAACTGAGGAAGGAACAACCACAAGAAGAGGATTTGTCTTCAATTGCCTATACTGTTAGGAAATGTTTTTCTTGGGGGGCTAGGGTACATATAGCTAGATTCTGTAAGAAGGGAAAATGACAGAATGCTAGTAAACACCAGAAGGCTAAGAAGAATGTTAGTTTAGCTATGTCTAGCAATTCAACTGTAAACCATGATTTATGGGTTGTTGATAGTGGAGCATCGCAATGCATTACTAAAGATAGAAAAAGGTTTGTGAAGATGTCCACGAGTAAACAACATGTATCATTGGCAAATGGATGGAAGATTAAAGCATCAGGTGAAGGTACTGCATACTGTTCTTGTATAAACGAACATTTAACTATATTATATGTACCTAAACTGAAATTTAATTTATTATCAGTTAGGGCTTTAGTTGATCTTGGTTATGTAGTAACCTTTAGGGGAGATAATTGTATAATAGAGAAAGAGGGTAAAAGTGTTACTGCTAATTTAGAGAATGATTTATATGTGATACATGATGACCAGTTGCAGATGGCTAACTCAGTTTATAACAATGTTAAGCCACATGATGAATGTATAAATTTACTGCAGAGACGTCTAGGGCACATTAATTTCAAAATGCTGAAACAAACTGTTAAATTGTCAGAGGGAGTAAAATTAAAACCTTGTAGCAAGTACTTAAACTGTAATGCCTGTAGTGAGGAGAAAAGCAAGTTTACACCAGCAAACAGACTGAATGGGTTTAAGACCAGAGAACCTTTGGAGGTTGTGTTTGCTGACATAATTAGTCCTAAGAAACCCAGTTTGGGAGGTGCCTGCTATGTTCTGAGTATAATGGACCATTACTCACGGTATGGTTTCTGTTATCTAATGAAAAACAAAACAGAAACGTTCCAACATTTCTTTAATTGGCTAAGGTTTGCAGAAAGAAAAGTGAAACATAAAGTAATTACTGTAGTTACATGTAACGAGACTGAGTTTATTAACAAGAGATTCCAAACGATGTTAAAATTGGCTGGTATCCAGCATAAGCATTCTGCACCTTACAGACCACAACATAACTCGTTTATAGAACGAAGAGGGCAAATGTTACAAGCCATGGCTTTCACTATGTTATCCGTTTCATATTTGCCTGAAACACTGTGGGGTGAGGCCATAATGTGCAGCAATCATGTGGTGAACAATGTGGTGAACACAACAACTAGTGAATTGCCATTCACTCGTTGGCATGGCAGAAAACCAAATTTAAGCTATCTACACACATTTGGAGCTCCAGCATGGGTGCATATTCCCTCACAAGTAAGACTGAAAGGGCAACATAGAGCTAGGAAATTATTTTTCATAGGTTACAAGGCCAACCATAGATTGTTTAGATTTTGGGATCCAGGCACAGCTAATATTTACTGTAGCACTAGTGCTAAATTCCTTGAGCACGTTGGGTGGCATAAACTAGAATGATATTGTTATCGACAGCCAAGTAGTCCCTAATGATGAGATAGTTAAACCATCAATAGCCATTAAAGAGGAAGAACAGGCACAGGAGGAGGTAGAAGAACAGGAGCAGGTGGAACAAGAGAGTCCACCAGTAAGCCCTGAGTTACATCGATGTTCAACCCGTGTAACACGACCACCAGATAGATATCAGGCAAGTATAGTATGCCAAGTAAATACAGTTCCTAGTAACTATAATGAACTGAAACTGTATCCTAAAGATCAGGCTGCTTGGCAGGAAGCAATGGATAAGGAACTGAAATCCTTACAAAGGTTGGAGGTATATGAAAATGTCAGGTTACCACCAGGTAAGCATGCCATAGGGTGTAAGTGGATGTTTTAACTTAAGACAGGTGTGGATGGGACTGTTACCCATAAAGCCAGGTTAGTAGCACAAGGGTTCGATCAGTCAGCCAACGACTACGATGAGGTGTTTTCACCTAGTCTGAAGGCTATCACATTACGAGCTGCATTAGTGTGAGCAGCTAAGAATAAATACATAATAAACCATTTAGATGTTGAGACGGCAGATCTTCATGCACCATTGCAATATACGATATATTTAAAGAAGCCTTTGGGTATAAAAACTGATAACAAAACTGATTGCTGGAGATTAAAAAAGAGTCTTTATGGCTTAAAGCAATCAGGCTATGAATGGAACCAGTGCATAGTGAAGGAATTAACTAAGATAGGTTTTGTAGCTGGCATAGCTGATCCATGTTTATTCAAAAAAGAAAGTGATGGTGTAGTTTCATTGTTGCTATTGTTCACTGATGACATAGCATTAATTACCAAAACTGAGCAAGAAGCTCCTGAAGTTATTTCACTGTTAGAAAAGAAATTTAAAATAAAACATTTAGGAGAGATTAAACAGTATCTTGGTTTAAAAATAGATAAAACTAGGGGAGGATACAAAATCTCACAGGCAGATAAAATTAACCAGGTACTAAAAAACTTTAAAATGGAACTTTGTAGACTGGCTAAAACACCGATGAGCCAGGAGTTTAGCTGCAGTGATGTGCAAAGTCCTGTTTTTTTTTTAAGCAAATTTTATTGATTTTAAAGACAAACAAAACAAAACATCATTAGACATTAAAAACATAAAACCTCTTTCCATTATAAATCTTTACAAGCCAGGTAACACATTATTTTATATCACATACTTCTAATTTACCCCATTTCCATGTAGACACATAAATTCCCTTTGACAAATTTCACATTATTTCTCTTTACTCTTATTCAATCACATTTCTTTTCTATATTTATCTGCTATTCAGTCATCATATTTATATTTCCCTCTGGCTTGTTTACAATTGTTCTCATCTGGCATTCCTCCAAGATTTTATTAATTCTCAGTTAAGCATACACACACAAAACACAAAAACATAAAACTTCCTTTTAGAAAGTAGCTTCGCCCCAGATTACCTCTTTTTGTATGGACTTCAACTAAATTCATGCTCTTCTTGAATACCATTACCTATCTTGTTTACCATTCTATATCTTCTATATAACTCCTCCTCACTTTTCCCTCTTCTTAATTCTATTTTATATATTTCATCTTGCTTTAAGACAATATTTTTATATCTTTTGTCCATTTTTCCATTTACATCTATCTCATTCCCAATATAAAAAAAAGATAATTTCTCCTGAAATCACTAATCAGAGTATGATGTCTTTCTATCATTCCCCTAAATTGAAGTTTGAAATAACACCTAAGTCCCAATCTGATTCTGCTTAGTACATTCTACTATTTCAAAAACAGATACTACAATAATAAATCTATAATAACATCAACACATTAGCCCGTTAAACTCTATAATTAAACTAATATTTTAAACATTTCCTTTAATATTTTATTAAAACTTAAAATCATTCATTATTAAACATTTTAACATTGTACCTTAATATTTTAATCTTTTATTAAATCTTATAAAATTCTAATTTTCTATTTTTAATACAAATACAACTACTACAATACTATCATGTGTACTTTGCAGAATCCCTTTTTTTAAAAAATCATACATTACCCTTTGTCCCTAAAAATTTTTTTCTTTTTCCCATCTTGTTTTATACCTTTGTGACTTTTTCCCCCCTTTTTCCCTTTCTTTCTTGGCCCACCTAGACTTTTTACCCACTCCTCTCTAAACCTCCGCCTTCTTGGCTTCCTCTTTCTGTTGCATTCTTCTTTCCTTTTGCTTTCTTGCATTATATTGTTTTTGCATCTTATTTTTCTCTTTCATAGATATTTTTTTATGTCTTAAGTCCTTCCTTTTCCCTCCTCTCTTTCTCCTTTCTTTCTTAATCAAACTATTTAGTTCATTAAAAATGGCTTCTTCTTCCTCCGCTTCTTCCAGCTGTTGTTGAATTTGCTGACACATAGCAAGCGCCATTTCTAAAAAACAAAGGGCTTCTCCCATAGCGTCCTTGCCTTCTTTCCTTATTTTTACATATTGTTTTTTTAGTTCATCGAGATATACAGCCATTATAAACTTTTTCTTCTTCTTTTTCTGTATCCTCTTCTTGTTATTAAGCCAATCAAAATATTTCCAAACTTAAAACAATTCCCCAAAGTCCCAAAGTCATCAAACAGTCCAGGCAAAGCGCAAAGTCCTGTTTTTGATAAAGACATTTATGAATCATTGATTGGCAGGTTATCCTATCTTAGTAATTGGTCTGCTAAGCGTGTGTTGAGATATCTTAAACAAAAGATGCATTATGCATTATATTTGGAGCCTAAAGATGAACTAAGTTTAACTGCATATGCCGATGCAAGTTTCGCTACAAACGTATCTACACATAAATCAAAGTCAGGTACTGTAGTGTTATTAGGAAAGGTGTTAATTGGATGGCGGTCTATTCAACAAAAACATCTAAGCTTATCAACAATGGAGGCTGAATTCTCATGTTTGTCTCTATTATGTACGGACTTAGTATGTTATAAACAACTAATGATAGACATAGGAAGTTATGTAAAGGAACCTATTGTTGTGTATGAAGACAACCAATCAGCAATTCAGATGGCTTCTAATCTCACCATAAAGGCAAGATCAAAACACACCGATCTACGATATCTGAATATGAGAAAATGTGTTCAAAGTAAAATGATTACACTGGAGTACTGCATGTCAGAGAATAACATTGCAGAACATTTTACGAAAGCCCAAGGCACTGTAAAACATAAGGCTTGCTGTGAGGAATATGGACTTAAACTGTAAGGTTTTATATATTGTCCTACCCAAAGGGGAGAATGTTAGGAATGATAGTCACCTAACAGTTGGGTTGGCAATATATAAACCAGGATAGTCATTTAATACTGTTGTATCTTTAAGAAAATGCTGTAATTGTGATTGGCTGAGGTTCCTCCAACAGCCATAAGATGGAGCCAGAAACCTGGTTTGCTTCTTCTTGCATTTCCCTTTTTGCTTTTTGCCTGATTGTCGTTCTGCTTGGATTGCTGTGAGTCTTGCAACTGTTAGCAAACTCCGTTTACTGAACTTTGTTTATGATACTGAACTTCGCTTGTGGATTATCCCTGGACTGATTGTTTTGAATACTAACTGCTTTAACCATGTATGATTTGGACTGTTTGTTGGACTTTGTTTACCTGTTTACTGGAAGTAAAACCTACATTTTACTATTCAGTGTATCTGAGTGCTGGTTGTTTGTTATTCAACACAACTCTCACTACATTTCCCTGAGTGCACTCATTCTCCTAATGGGGAATACCTCAACAACCTTCAATAAACTATTACTTTGGCACGTGAACATCAGTTCTGGCTTTGTTTTACTGTATTTCACTTGACCTTTAGTAAACTATAACTTTGGTGCACGAACCTCAGGTCTGACTTTGCTTTACTGTTAAACTATAACTTTGGAACGCGAACCTTAGTTCTGATTTGCTTAACTTTTAAACTATAACTTTGGCACGCAAAGCTTAGTTCTGGCTTTGCCTTACTGTTAAACTATACCTCTGGCATGCGAAACTCAGTTCTGGCTTTGCTTTACTGTATTTCACTTGACCTTCACTAAACTATACCTTTGCCGCGCAAACATCTGTTCTGGCTTTGCTTTACTGTTACACTACACCTTTGGTGCTTGAACCTCAGTTCTGGCTTTACTTTATAACATTTCACATGACATTGAGTAAACAATACCTTTGGCACACACCTCTGTTCTGGCATTACTGTTAAACTATACCTCTGGTGAGTTTAACTCTGTTGTAATGACGTGGCAGTCGAGTTGTTTTATCATGAACAACTGAATCATGATGAACTTTATTGGAGTCTAGTCTTGCATTTATACACATTTTTAGTTATCCTCCATCATTGGTTAACTTTGGTTACTGCTTAACTTTCATTACTGTTTAGCACAGTAATTAATACAATTAATTATCTCTAGTTAAAGTCTAACATATGCTTACTTCCTCTCTCTAATCCTTCTTTAGATTAGTGACTTTGTTTACCTGAGTTGTATTTGCTTGGAAACATTCTTTATCTGAGGTTCGCCATCCGAGATTGGAATATTCCTGCAATTACAACTCTACATATCCTTGTTTTTTATTTTAAATGGAGGATTCAAAGATTTATGAATGTATCGCAATTGTAGAGGATTAAGAGAGGGGGAAGCAGGACGAAACAATGTGAATAAATTTGGAATACATTGAATAAAACAACAGGTTGCAATTAGTACAATAATAATAATTATAGCATAAAAGAAAAACTGTCTGAGCCAAGACCAATCAGGGAGCCAATTGGTTAGCCACTCGAAAGGTGAGTAATGAGCATGGATATTATTTTGAATGTATGATTGTAAATTGACAAGCTCATCCTCAATAGTTTTATTCAAAGAATGAAAATGTACAGCACATCCACGGTGTCCAACTAACGTACAGAACCCTCCCTGATGGGCTAAAAGATAGTCTATGGCAAAATGCTGCTGTAAGACATCTTGATTTAAGTCTTCTATTTCATGCTGAGAATCATGAATAATAGCAGCGGTAGCATTGATGGATTTTTCAAGTCTGCAGGTGAGACCAAGAATAGATTGTCTGTTTTCTTGAGCAATTATGCCAGGATAAGAGCATAGAGTAAGGACTCCTGTAACGGCCCCTGCCAATGCATGGCCAAATGTAGAACCAGAAGACAATTGTGTGTCAATAATAACTTCATCATTACATGTAGGCCCCAGAGAGGAACGCCGCTGTCAAGTTGATGGGAGCGTAGCTATTTGAACAGGTAGAGTAAAATAACCTATAGCTGCACATTGATAATTCTGAGGATGAACATTAGTGGCATATTTATCAAAAAAGAACCACATATTAGGATCCTTAAGCTGCCAACCAGCACATATTGATCCTGTATTAGATTGATCAGAGGCATTAAAAATAGGAAAATTGTCAGGATACATATCAGGAGCTATATTAATTCCATGCAAAGAAGAATTAAAGGTACCTGACAACCAATAGTAGTCAGAACAATAACTATAATTCCCTAACTTTTTAAATATGTGCTGAGCAGCATCATAATCAGACCAATTATGAAGCCAAGTGTGTTTAGCGTGACAACAGAAACATAGACCCCTTGTAAATTGACTAACTTTCAAGTAGAATTCAATTGCATAGGGGGTTTAGAAAATAGCCAGGAGTGTGAAATAGATTGTAATTGTGAGACAATAAATGTAGAAGACATGATCAAGTTAGGGGTAAAAAATTTGTCTAAATGCCATTGGGGGCTCATAGTATAAAGTATTATTTGTGCCATGGGTCATAAACATGTATTGGGCATGATGAACCCACAAATTAGGGTTAAGACGAACCACAGAAGTGCCATTTTGAGCAGAAACACCATTAACCATAAACAAGAAAATACAAAGTAAAATGGTAACAGAGTTAGCAGCAATAATAGCAAAAACAGCAGCAACAAGATTTTCAGGAGTCTGAGGTAATGAGGTCTGTTGCAGTTGTTGTTGAGCTTGATATGTAGTAGATTTAACCTGGCCCCAAGTGATGGGTTGCGGGCGCATTGACCTTGGAAGACGGACTTCCGTGTTCAGATGAAGATTGAAATCCGGAATCGGGTTGCCATGCCATGATATGGACAAACACAGCGCTCTGGAACCCACACTGCTTGTCGAGTAGAAGGATCTTCCACAGCAGCGTAACCACGACCCCAGGTGATCAGCGGTGTAGGGCCTTTCCAGGTTGGATCTGGAGCTTGGCGATACTTTACCAAAGGCCTTGCTAAAGATTCAGTAGTTTGAAAATGCAAATTAACAGGTGAGTCTGCAAGAGAATCTAAAAAGGTTAAATAATTCCAAGTATATAATGCTACAACAATGAGATTTTGAATCTTTCTCAGATGGTAAGGGCCAGACTCAGTTTGTAATTGTTTCTGAAGCAATGCCTTAAAAGTACAATGAGCTCGCTCAACTATAGCTTGACCCTGAGAGTTGTAAGGAATTCTGTGCACTAAAGTAATATTCCATTTCTGACAAAAGGTTTGAAATTCCTTACTAATATAAGTGGGGCAATTGTCAGTTTTAAACTGAGAAGGCCGACCCATTATAGCAAAAGAGGATAGGCAATGAGAAATAACATCTGAAGTACGTTCATGTTTTGAAGCAGTAACCCAAAGGAAATGTGAATGAGTGTCAATAGACATATGAAGATAACAATATGGCTTAAAGGTTGAAAATTGAGTTACATCCATTTGCCAAATTTGATTAGTTTGGGTTCCTCGTGGGTTGACACCCACTGGAAAGGGAACTGCCAGTTGCTGACAAGCTGGACAAGCACAGACAATATCCCGGGCTTGAGATAATGAAATTTTAAATTGCTTTGCAAGCGATTTGGCATTTTGATGAAAATAAGAATGACTGGCAACAGGATCAACAAACAAAGATGCAACATCCTTTAAGGATTCATCTGCCTTCCGATTTCCTTCAGTCAAGGCATTAGTAAAGGGAGTATGACTCCTAATGTGTTCTACATACAAAGAATACAAGCGAGTTTCCAAACTATTCTTTAAAGATAAAAACAAGGATAACAAATTCTTATCCAAAGAGAGAGCACAATAAGAAAAGGGAAGAGATTGCATAGCTAAATACGCATATTGAATATCAACAATCAATTTAATACGTTGGGCATTGAACAATTGTAAAGCCAAAATCACAGCAGCCAGCTCAGCACATTGAGCTGAAGTCTGCGTGGCAGTAAATTTTGAATACCATTGTTGTTGAATCTGCCAGACAACCACACCCCTTGTAGATGATCCATCAGTAAAGACTATAAGAACTTTAGAAATAGGATTTCGCACAAAAATGGAAGAAAAGGCCAGATTTAAAGTAGTAGTAACCACTATTCTTGGATCCTTGGGTAAAGAATACAACAAGTTTCCCACATATTGAGAAAAGGCTATCTGATATGATTCTGAAATCATATAACAAAAACAGGAGTATTCCAAAGACTAGTAGAAGGTTCTATATGACCAGCAGCTAATTGTTCTTGAACCAATTGTTGTAAAGCAGCGAGTTTTTCCCTTGATAATGGCCATTGTTCCACCCAAACTGGCGTGGAACAGAGCCATTTAAGAGGAAGAGCCATCATCAAGAATCAAATGGGCATTAAGAAGAGAAAGGATATCACGGCTCCAAATATTAGTATGAATATCTAGAATGTATGGTTGTAGGAAAAAGGACTTACCAGCAGATGTTGTAACATTAATTTCTTGAACACTCTGCCAAGCAGCTGTAGAACCTCCTATTCCCCACAATGAAGAAATGGTTGTTTTGGCCACTGTACTGGCCACTGTAAAGAGGAGATGACAGTAACATTGGCTCTAGTATCCAATAACCCTTGAAATGGTTGTTTATTAAGGAAGAGAGAGGAGTTCAGCTGATGAAGTAAGCCTACAGATAAAGAAGTTGATCCAAATCCTGCATCCCCACGATTACCTATACCAGGAGATGGATTTTCATATGGAAGAAGAAGCAATTGAGCAACAGAAGAATTACAAGGAAGAACTTGAGGAAGATTCACCCAAATCTGAATCATGAGGATACCAGTGTAATCTGAATCTATTACCCCAGGCACAACAAAACAGCCCTTTTTGTGTGCAGAAGAACGAGGCAAAATTAAGCCAACTAATCCCGAAGGAAGAGAACCTTTAAATTGAGATGGAACTATTTTAACTCCCATAGGAAATTTAAACTCAATTTCCTCTTGAGTGATTAAATCGATCCCAGCGCTACCGGCTGTGGCTGGGGAGGAGTGAGAGAGACTGCTGGAGGAGTCAAGTAATATTTGCTTCCAATCTTCAGGGATCATTGTACTTTCTCTTTTTTTCTTAACCTCAATTACGATTTTCTGGGAAAGGAGGGGGAAAGTGAGAACAAAACAACTTTGTAACACTGCCAACTAGAGGCTTGAAAATATTTTACTTGAAGTGGAGAGAACTGTGAAAGACTCCTTCTCAAGGACATTGCAACTTGATAAGATAGAGGGAAGAGCGCGGGAGAATATTATTACAGGTGTTCTTCTGGACTTCTATCAACAATCTAACACTTGAAGCTTGGGTTTGAAGTTTGTGGAGAAGAGAGTCATAATAAGAGCCTTGGATAATTAAATAAAGTGCAGTGTGTTTTCTTCTATTTTCTTTTAGTTGTGTTACTCCTCTTTACCAGCTCCACTGTAAACTTTTATTTTTGCAATATTTTTATTTTTGCTTTTTATTTTAAAGGGAAAGCCTCAGAATTTCTCCTTTTTCTTTTTTTTTCATTGGGATTTTTGTTTCTTCCATCAATGTTTTTGGTTTATTTTGGTTTCTTTTTATTATTGAGATCTTTCAATTGGATTAAGGTGTGAAGAACCTGAAGAAACTTTTTTCTTATTTTTTTTCTTATTATTATTGGGCTTTTTCCTTCTTCTTATTTTTATCCTTTATTGTGGGTTATAATTGACTATTTCATAATTGGATTAAGGTCCAGAAGAACCTGAAGAATTTTTTCTTTTCCTTCTTCCTTTACTATCATTGGGCTTTTTATACTCTACT